TTTTAATAAAAATAAACAAGAATTGATTTAATATAATTTGATAAAAAACTTGGATTGATCTACCCGGTTAATCCAAGAAAAATATAATTAAAATTAATTAATAAAATAAAAAAATTAAATTAATCCAAATTAATCTGGATTACCTCACTTAATTCGTCTCTTGAAATCTATCCTAAATTAACTTTGGATTGGATTTAAAAAAGAAATTGATATATTTCTCTCGGTTGTAAATTCATATTTTTATTGGAAAAAAATAAATTTGTTTTCTTTCTCAAGAAAAAAATTAATGATTAAATAAAGAAAGTGAAAAAATATCTAGGAAAAAAAAATTAGAACACACAATAATCCATTCTATTGTTTTTGTTAATGATTTATCTCCTAGTGTTTATTATATGATGATTTTATCAAAGCTGTGTCAAAGCAAAAGAAATATTACATTTTAAAATGGAACTTCACGGGGGTTAAATTGTGTTTTGTCTTTATTATAATATTAAAAGTAATTAAATAATAAATATTATAATTTTGCATGAGTTTTATTGAAATTCCTCTCTTAAAATTTTGGTTATACATAAAAAAAAATGTTTCTTAAACATGTTTTTTCAAATTATAACTATAAAAAGTACCATAACATCAAACATGTACTGCATCTTCTAACAGTAGAACCGTAACCAGATGGTTGCATAATGTTTTTGAGCCTCTAAAGATACCTGGGATGCATGCATTTAAAATTTATTTAAAAGTGTGATTGTAATTGATTTTTTTTAAAAAAATTATATTAAAATAATATTTTTTATTTTAAAAAATTATTTTTAAAATCAACATATCAAAATAATTTTTTTTATAAATATAATTTACAGCATATTCTCAAACATTCACTGAGCCTAGATAGTAAGCTTTTGTGTCCATATTTCATTATTTCTTCGATAGCAATTGCAATTGCCAGATGCTGAAGCAAATCTAAGCTAAGTCCATTGCCCACTCTATAACTATGCTTCTTAATTATGTTACGTATTCTGCAAAGGTGTTGCCAACAAGTGCTGGATTCAAGACAAAGAACACATCAATTGAAATTGAAAATGCAAGTTACATTCTTTCTTTGCTAGGGAACTCTGAATGCTTCATGCACATCAATTAGAGCAGTATAATTGGAACGAAAAAGTTAAGAACGGATCAGTAAACTCAATAACCAACTGTTGATTTGGAACTGCTTATATGAAAATCTATCATGCCCTGAAGGAACTTTCTGGTATACAAGATTGGCATGCATCTCAATGATTTATCAGATATGATATAGGAGATTTTGATCAAATATGTAATCTTATGCTAAGGGTTATAAATTTCAATCTAATTGCTGGATTGGATTGAGATTTTTCTCTGTATTTATTATTTTTTTTGTATTGTTCCTAGTTGCGTCGCTTGTGATGCCAAAAAAAAATCAACATGTATAGGTGAGAGATGGAGTCACCAAACTAAATTTGTGGCAACTTTGAAAATTCAAATATACCTATGAAAAAACCAAATGTTAAAAGTCAATACAAGTTGAAGATGAATTTTGAATGAAGTTTCATAAAAATTAAGTTTAGAAACTTAATTAATTGAATTTTTAATGGGCTAATTTGATTTAATAATGAGCTTAATTAAGGGTTTAATTAAATCTATAAATTAATTTAGGCATAAATTAAAAGAATTAATGAAGTGCAAGAACTTAATTAGACTTTTAATGGGTCAAATTACTTTTATTCAGGATTTAATTATTCAAAAATTTAAGTCTGAAAGCCTAATTTTGATGTAATTGATAATATTGAAATTTTAGAAGACTAAATTCAACTTTTACAAGCTTATTTGGATGAAATTAGGGTTGAAATTACAAGAAAAATCAAGATTCAAGGTTTAATTAAGGGCCGAATTGAAGAACCTCATAATCAAGAATCAAAGTACAAAAAACACATACATTTGATGACTGAAATCAATCAAAATAGGTGTTAATTTGAAAGAAATTGAAAGTTTGATGGTTGATAGGGGTTAAATTAAACAAACTAGAAGTTTTAGAATCAATTGAGGATACACATGCCAGAATTGAAACAACAAGAGCTAAATTAAAGTTTGCAAAATCATAATTAGAAAAACTTAATTTATTGAGTTTACTCTAAATAACGTGTCACTCATCTTTAATAAAGAGAATGAGTTACATGTCATCTAATCTTTGTTTGTCATCTTTTTCAGCCAATAAAGTTGATCAAGTTACCACTTTCAGGCAAATAAATATAGCATTTCTAACCATTTCATAGGCTTAAACCATCATTAATGGACTTATAAACACCCTTTTTTTAAGAATTAGTGATCCTCGTCACATGTTTATAACTATTTTGACTCAATGAACTCAACAATATTTTTTCTCTAATCAACTTCCATTTTAAACTAATTAAGAGCTTGTATTTTAATCAATGAATATGAAGTTTTAAATCTTCAAATTATATAATATTTGATCCATATGATAAATATATATTTCCTCTACAAATATTAACTACTTTTATCTCATTTTTATATATAGTTTTGTTATGATAATCTCTTCAAAGTAGCGCTCATTTGGTCAATCATGATTAAAGAAGAAAACCAAAATGATTGTTTAAACTTCATGATTATCTTCTCTTGACAAGTTTGAGATGAATATTAAAAATTAATTTACGAGTTGCTTAAGATTAATTTGGAGGGGTTGCAGTAGCGAGATCAATTACTCTTGCATCTCAATGATTTATCAGATATGATACAGGAGATTTTGATCAAATATGTAATTAACAGTTATAAATTTCAATCTAATTGTTGGATTGGATTGGATTGAGATTTTTCTCTATATTTATTATTTTTCTTGTAATGTTTATGGTTGCGTCAAGATCTTATACTCTCGTGATGTCAAAAAAGAATCGACATATATAGATGAGAAGTGGAGTGACCAAAATTAATTTGTAGTAATTTTTAAAATTCAAATATACCTTTGAAAAAACCAAATGTTAAAAGTCAATACAAGTTGAAGATGAATTTTGAATGAAGTTTCATAAAAATTAAGTTTAGAAACTTAATTAATTGAATTTTTAATGGGCTAATTTGATTTAATAATGAGCTTAATTAAGGGTTTAATTAAATCTATAAATTAATTTAGGCATAAATTAAAAGAATTAATGAAGTGCAAGAACTTAATTAGATTTTTAATGGGTCAAATTACTTTTTTTTAGGATTTAATTATTAAAAAATTAAGTTTGAAAGCCTAATTTTGATGTAATTAATAAGATTGAAATTTTGGAAGATTAGATTCAACTTTTACAAGCTTATTTGGATGAAATTAGGGTTGAAATTATAAGAAAAATCAAAATTCAGGGTTTAATTAAGGGCTGAATTGAAGAACCTCAAAATCAAAAACCAAAGTACAAAAATCACATACGTTTGATGATTGAAATCAATCAAAACAGGTGTTAATTTGAAAGAAATAAAATTTAATGATTGATAAGGATTAAATTAAATAAACTAGAAGTTTTAGAGCCCATTGAAAATACACATACCAGAATTAAAACAATAAGGGCCAAATTAAAGTTTGAAAAATCATAATTAGAAAATCTTAATCTATAGGATTTACTCTAAACAACATGTCACTTATCTTTAATAAAAAAAACAAGTCACATGTCATCTAATCTTTGTTTGTCATCTTTTTCAGCCAATAAAGTTGATCAGGTTATCACTTTTAGGCAAATAAACATAACATCTTGGACCATCTCAGAGACTTAAATTATCATTAATGGACTTATAAACACCTTCTTTTTAAGAATTAGTGATCCCCATCATATGTTTATAACTATTTTGACTCAATGAACTCAACAATATTTTTTCTCTAATCAACTTCCATTGTTTTTTATAATTTTAAAATTATGAAGAACTTGCATTCCAATAAATGAATATGGAGTTTTAGATTTTCAAATTATATGATATTTGATCCCTGTGGTAAATATATATTTTCTCTATAAAGATTATCTATTTTTATCTCATATTTATATCTAATTTTGTTATGATGATCTCTTCAAGGTAGCTCACTTGGTCAACCATGATTAAAGAAAAAAACTACAATAATTGTTTAAACTCCATAACTATCTTTTGTTAATAAGTTTGAGATATATATTAAAAATTAATCTAGGAGTTGTTTAAGATTAATTTGAAGGGGGAGGACTGTTGCAGGAGTTTATATGATAGGAAGATCAATTTAATCTTCTTGTCTTAGAGTTTTGTTAACTATAAAAAGTATTTTAATAAAATAAAAGGAGGAATGAGCTTAGATTTTGACAAACAACACCACTAACAAGATGGAGAAAAAACCTTTGTTGGATTTGGGTTTTTCTTAACTGAAAAATGTGCTTGAAAAATATAATTTAGACCTTTAAATTGATCTGCGCTCTCCTGGGAACATGTTCCCTTTATGTACAGGGCTAAATTAATAAAACACAGGGAGAAATATACCGTATACAAGTTTACCTGTTGTAAAATTGTCGCAAGGTGCTAGAAAGAGCAAGCAAGAGTGAATAAAGAGTAATCATTTATTAATGTGTGTAATGAGATAAAATTAGAACAGATTATATTTGTGGAAAGATTTGTAGAAAATATTGCAAGGACGTTAGAAAAGGCAATGGTAATAGTGAATGAAGAAAACAAGTGTTCTAATATGTGTTTTTTTTTTTTTTTGTGTGTCCTTCCTTGCTCTACATGCTGTTTATTTATAAGCGATGTGCACATAAGAATCAACTGACGTAGCTTCCATTAAGTATTAATGGAGCTTCCACTAATTATTAATGGAGCACTAATTGATGGAACTTCCTTTAATAGCATTAAGGGAGCCCTAAATGCACTTAATTGTACTTTTTGTTTATCTTTTTTAACCATTAGTTAGCTTGTGGAGAGCTTGAACCATCTTATTGACTCAAGGAACGTGCATGGGTGCTCCAACAAAGACATTAAAATTGAATCTTGATTTGCTTTCATCCAAAAAGCTTAATGAGAGGTGGAAAATGACTGTTGTATCATTGAATCGAGCTCATATTAGGATGGAAAAGAAAGAGATTACACCCGTCTGTGTTCCAGAACTCCATTTGAAACTTACAATAAACGAAAAAACAGGCAAAGAAAACAGTTGTGTTTTTTCTCCCATAAAATCTTCCTGAATTCCCATTAACATACACCACCCTAAAAATAGTGTGCCATAGTTTAAGACCTTTTCAGATATGAAATCCGTGCCCTCTGCCAACAAAAGCAATCACCAGTAGCTAGTCCATGCGGAAGCGAAACAGCTGGGGGTTTCTGTTGGTTTTGTCAAACACTTCACAGAGTGTGCATTTCTTCTCTGCATCTCTTGTTCGGCTAAAGTGTTAAACTGTCGTCACTCGTTTTGATAGTCGAAAGAAAAGAAAGGCTCTCATCTACTTTCTGGTAACTTTTCAAGACTCCTAACTTCTTTCTTTATCAGTCTTGTTTTGCTTTCTTTGTCTCTCTTTTGGGTCATTTTCATTTCCTCTATCAATTCTTTCTGTTACCATCTTTCTATCTGATTGATTTTCAAAAGCATTTCTGTCACAGAGTAGTTTCTTGCTTGCCCAAATTTAGTGGAGAACATAGCATGCATGCTTGATCTCTCATTGCTCGCGTGCCTGCCTTGCATAAATGATATTTGTGCAGTTTCTATATTGTTGGGGTGCAAACTTTGTTGCGTTTTAATCTTTCTTCTCCTCTTATTTATCGTTTTCGAGTGCTAGGGTATGGTTCTTTATATGTGTGATTTTCTGCTCTATTTTAGTTTTATTCTGATGATGATAGCCACCCGTTTTTTATTACTACCATAAAAAAAACTTGGCTCTTTTTGCTTTATTTTATTAGTTTTATAAGCCTAAATTCCCTGTTTTTGAAGATATTTTCTTTATATATACCTTGTGTTAACTTCCAATCGATTTTCCTGTTTCTGAATCAAGCACTGGCTGACAGGTTGCAGATGCTTGTGGCCTCAGACTATTCCAAACTGGTCAGTGAGTTCTAAAGCAGTTGACACCCTCACACGCCTGACTCCACATGCAATCATTAGTAATACTTCAGAATTCAGAAATGTTAATTACGAGAATCATCTTCAGTGACTTGTTAATGTCTGAGACCTGCTTAATGTGCTGTTACCTTTTATTCAGTAAGGTGTAGGATTGAATCTGAGACCTGCTTAAGTTTCTATGGGGCTTTGGCAACTGTTCGTTGTTTCACTGATGCCAGTTGTGAAGGTGCTCCTGATGACTACATTAGGTGTATTTCTTGCAACTGAGCGCATGGATATTTTGGGGACGGATGCGCGGAAGCATCTGAATAGTGTAAGTACCAATATTTTTCCAAGGTATTTTAGAATAGATGATAAATTTAACAAAAGAACTTGGTCAGAAGGATCACTAAGATGTCTGCCAATGTATACTAGACAATTTATTTGGGGGATGACAGATTTTCTTATAGTTTTAAATGTACAGCTGATTATTTAGTATAATGGTCCATTCTTTTTTGAACTTCTATTATAACATCACCCTTTGAAGAATGAAAACCTGTATATATATTTCGATACAAAGTGGGAAAAATTGCAGATAAATTGTTTATCAGTTGCTTTTCTCCTTTCAATGCTGCTCTAGTTGTCCTGCGTCGAGTTCCCTAAGAATAAATGTGGATTTTCTATTTCAATTCTTGTGCAGCTTGTGTATTATGTCTTGAATCCAGCACTTGTTGGTAGCAACTTGGCGAAATTCATAACGTTGAAAAGCATAGTTATGCTGTGAGTTAATTTCTCTAATCGACTTTTCTGCTGCTGTTTTCTTTCAATGTGGTTTTTTTTCTGCTAGTATATTACAATCAACGTTGGTTGAATTCTTATGTAGGTGGTTCATGCCACTCAATATTTTTATCACCTTTATCGCTGGCTCAGCGCTTGGATGGCTACTAATAAAAATTACAAAAGCTCCTAATCACCTGCGGGGCCTCATCGTGGGCTGTTGTGCTGCTGGTGGGTTTCATTATTTCTGGTTGAAGGAAGATATACGCACAGCTTTTAAGTGCTCCTTGCTGATTTATAAATTTTCACAAAATATTAGTTGATTAACCGAAGTCTTCATGAAATAAGAGAGAAGGTCTGAGCATTTTAATTCACTGGCATCGGTATCAATAGCAAATCAGTTTCTGATGATGTGCCCTTTTACTGATGATTGTGATTTGAAGTATAGGTTTTTACATCTTTTACTTGCTTTCTAAGATCTCTTGTCGGATATTAATTCCATGTCAAGGAGGCCTCTGCTTTGTTAACTGATCATCATCCTTCAACTAAAAGAAACAAGTTTTTAAGATTTCTGCTGTAGATTCCTCTCCTTCTGTCTTTCCTGCCATCCAACCCATGCAGATCAACCGCCTTAGAAAAGAGGCTGATGTGCCGTTTCCTGCAAGTGAATTAAGCAGAAATGAAAGTCTAGTAATTTTGCTATCTTTGGTCTGGTTACCATACGCTGTTATGAAACACTTTAGACATTCTGATCTAATTATATATTCCTGTCACACATCAATATTTACTCTTTTTTTCCCCAGCTATTTAGACCCCTCTTGACAGTAATATCATGATTTGTTAGCGGCAGCATTACATTTGTCATGGCGAGTCAATCAATATTTGCTTTTTTTCCCCCAGCTTTTTAGGCCCCTCTTGACAGTAATATCATGATTTGTTAGCGGCAGCATTACATTTGTCATGGCGAGTCAATGTATTGAAGCTGTGGCACAAGCTTCATTACATTCGACCTTTTGTACCTGATTTCTAGTTTACATGGGCGGTTGAATGTGAGCAGGGAATCTGGGCAACATGCCTCTCATAATCATTCCAGCTGCCTGTGAAGAAAAAGACAATCCATTTGGCGACGCCAGCATCTGCAAAATGCATGGATTGGCATATGCTACGCTCTCTTTGGCAGTATGACAATGTTTCTTACCTGAATTTAATTTTTTATGTGCTCTAAGAAAGGCAGTATAATAGGTTTTGAATTGTTTAAAATTCTTTCCATTTTTTCTTGATTTTTCAGATTGGATCCATCTTGTTGTGGTCATATGTGTACAATATTGTGCGAATATATTCAAGTACAGATTCTGATGAAACCAAACCGGATGCCTTGCCAGAGGGTCTAGAATCTGCCGTAGAAATAACACCAGGGCCCATGCTTTTCTTAAAAGAGCCCTCAATCGATGAGGGTATGGAGAACTTTGAGCTTGATCGTGCAGTGTCGAACGGGAAGGCGAAGGTTGCTTGAAAACATTATAATTTCATTTCTTTCTGGACTCTCTTATCCTTTTCCATATATTGTTTGATGCTCATTATGAGCACATGTTGAAGTTTTCACGATACTATTGGTTCCTCTTGTTCCCTTGAATAAAATGTTTCTGAGAGCAATCATCAACCTACCAATCAATATTTCTTGACAGGTACCATTTCCAGAAAACATTAAGCGAGGATTTCAGAAGGTTCTGAAGAAACTCAACCTGAAGAGATTGCTTTCACCTTCAATTAATGGAGCGGTACGCTAATGGCAAGTTCTTATTTTTTCTGTGTTGGCCGAAGGGCATATTGATTCCTTATGGAAGTGTATAAAGCATCTATTACTCTTTTTTCTAGTTTGGGAAGTGTATAAAGCATCTACTACTCTTTTTTCTAGTTTGGAGATCATATATAGCAAGACAAGGCTCACATTTCAAATTTGCTCACGTTATATAGCATACTGAAATGATCATATACATATTAGAGACTGCACATTGCAGAAAGGCTTAAGCATCAAAATGATAGCTCATGAGCAAGAATATTCCTGCTGGGTAGCCGATGAGCTTCAGTGGATGAAAAAATACTTCAGAAGCACAACAGATGCATCCCATGCTTTCTTAAAGGATATAAATTCATGCTTCATAGAGGATCAAGTCCACTTCTTCTGTAGTACTATTCCATTCCTTCCATTAATTTTCTAGAACAAGCTGCTCTTTTATAAAGTATTATTTACAACAAGCCTGCTCTTCATACATTCCTCATTGATCTTTGAACCCTATCGAAATTTAAAGACCATTTATGGAGACATTGCCATGGAGCAGCCATCAGCAAGCAGCTTGCTGGTTTAAGCTGGATTGTTTTCCCTCTTCAGTTATTGATCACATTTAAAGCATCTAATGCTGAATAGACTAAACAGGCTACTTTATATTTCAGTATCGATGCGAGTATTGACCCCCCTTACTGCTTTATTTTTATAGATTGTTGGATTTATAGCCGGTACTATCCCTCCTTTCCGAAAATTGTTGATCGGTGACAGTGCTCCTCTTCGTGTGGTTGAAGACTCTGCATACTTTGTCGGGTCAGTATCCCTCTTTGATGATATATATGAACATTCCCGAGAAACCAAAAAAACATTCAGCTACCTCACATGCTCCCCTAGAGTTCCTTTCTGTTGTGTGTTTGCAGGGAGTCAGCCATTACAATCACCACTTTGATTGTAGGAGCAAATCTTCTGAAGGGTAATCGCGATCATTTTGATTTTTATCATGCTTATTTTCACTATCCTGCCCTTCTTCACTAGTTGAGCTTGCCGAAGCATAGATACAATGATGACCGGAATGTGTTCTCAGGCTTCAGGGGGTCAAAGGTGCCGATCTCAGTGATTATTGGTATCACGGCAGTCCGTTATATAATCTTGCCGATATTGGGAGTTGTTATCATTAAATGTGCAGTCCATTTGGGGGCAGTGAACTCAGATCCTCTGTACAAGTTTGTTCTGCTGCTTCAATTTGCACTGCCTCCAGCAATAAACATAGGTTTTAACATTCATGCAAAGTTCAACGATGTCCTTATCTGGAAACAGATTGAATCGGTTCCTAACTAGAAATCGGTTTTTTCGCATGTTCTTTCCTGATTTGGCAGGCACAATGACCCAGTTGTTTGGAGCTGGCGAAGCCGAATACTCGGTCATCATGCTATGGACCTATGCCTTGGCCTCTGTTTCGGTGATGCTCTGGTCAGCATTCTTCATGTGGCTCGTCAAATAACTATCGCTTGCCTCTTGGATCGCTTCCAACATACTCAATCTAGGCAATGCCATTTTATCCTTCGCATAGATATTTCATTAGTCTTGGCCAATACGAACGTAAATGAAGAAATTATGAAAGGCACAAGCAAAAGTGTGCATTACATAATATAAAATATTACATTATATAAAATATAATGTAATATCACATTGGGAAAAAAAAATATTACATTATAAAATAGAAATTCAGTGGTGGTAAAATTCTAGATTTAATTTATCAAGAAAAAAATATTACATTATATAAAATATTGTTATATCTATTTACTTAGAAGCAAATATACTTGAAATGTATGCATTATATGAATAAAGTTAAAAATCAATAAATAAAAAATAAAGGTAATGAGAAGAGAAATTGGTGGAGAATGAGGCATATTTTGGTAAATTTTGTTCTTAAAAAAATATTATCTATTAAATTTTATTAACCTCGTTAAAATAATATTGTTAATTATGAAAACCAATTTTTTTAAAAAATGATGAATATCATGTTAATAAATTTGAGAATATCTCATAACTTGTAAAGAAAATAATATTGACTGTCAATTATATACTTATTAGAGTTACATACAAGAAGTTGAGAAAGACATTATATGAGTTGGGGAAAAAACAATATCTTACTTTGAAGTAATTATATGAGTTGGGGAAAAAACAATATCTTACTTAAATACTTTAAAGTGTAAAGATGGCTTGCAAAAATGACAATGTCTAATCCTAAAAGATTAAAATATGATCTAAAATAGCAAATTATGTATTTATTAAATATATTTATAATAGTAGTGGATATCAATTTTTTATATACAAATTAAGTATTAAGGGCATTTCTATCAATACATTAATAAAATCAAATATTCTGAAAGTTATGAAAAGGCACAAGAAAGCATACAACAAACCATAATCTATGATCATTGGTTGATATACTTATTATTGACGTTGACGAAGCAACACAAAAGAGATAAAAAACATAATTAAAAATATAAAATTATATAAAATGGAGATCACATAAAAATCTTAATTTGAAATTTTATTACTTGAAATTTTCTTGTTAAGTAGTCTGTATCTACAAAATATTTACAATTCCTTAAATAAACTTAAAAATTTATGTGAATAATAAAAAAAACTTGAAAATAAAAAAAGTAATAAAAATCCTAAAAAATAGGAAAAGTTGTTCTAAATAAAGCCAATAAAATAATAAAAAGCATCTAAATCAAGTACCAAAAATAATTCTAAATCAATTAAAAAAAATATAATGAATCTCAAATAATAACTCACCCGTGATTATTATCAAAAGACCTTTTTAATCTTTGATTATTTCAAGATTTTAATCCTATAAAAGATAGAGTTTTTAGAAAATCCTAGCAAATTCTTAATTAAATACAATAATTGGATTGAAAATTATGTTCATATATTTTATTAAAAAAATCATTTCTAATAGATGATAAAAGTATTTAAAAAGAAAAAGATTCATGATACAAGTCAATTTAATAAATAATAAACACATAATTTAACGTTATATATAAATTATGAACATAAAAGATATCTTTAATATGTATAATCAAAGATTTTCATGATATAATTCTATATTTTTAAATTACACATATTATTAATATTTAAATTTGATTTTCAAAGTTGCGATTATTTGGATACGTGAGATTTTTTCTCCAATTTACCCAATCCTTTCCACTACACGTGATAATTATAGATGCATCTAATTGGTTATAGACATAGTTGTGGGATTTACCTAAAAAAGGAAATACATTATTTTAGCTAAAATAATATTCTTAAGTTTCTTATAGTTAATCTTTTCAAGTTTGTCGGATTAATCAGATTATTTAAATTAACTAAGTTAATATTTTCTTTTATTTAATTTAAAATTCAGTCTCAATCAAATCTGATTCATGAATTTTTTAAGTCAATTTAATAACTATTATTAGAATGCAATTACATGAAAAGGTCCGTCGTGACTATTGTCGTTCTAGATTCAGAGGCTGGCAACGGGCCATCAGTTCGGAAAACGGGCTGCGCAGGGAGGAAACCGATATTTCAAATTCCCAGGTTGCCGGAAGCAGAGCCTGCAGACAACGGGTGGTCCGGTCACGTCTTCCAATTTATCAGTCGGACCCATGCCCAAGTCCATGATAATAGAATCACAATTCATAAGCACACAGATGTCCATATCCCAAGATGATTGACACTATATATTCTACAAATTTAATCAAATAATATGGTGGCTATAATTAATAAATATCATGGAACAAAGCTTCATTAGCTTAATTTACTACTAAATTACTGATGCCACATGTGATCGATGTGCCTGAAGGATGAAGATGAGCTTGCGGCGGCCTCATTTTGTCATGGCAGGGTAGTTCCAGGGAATAGAAGGAACCCTAATTGTGCTTACTGCAGCAGCCACATGTAAAAGGTTGACCAGAGGGTAAGAGACAGTGCTGATAAAGCATAGCTCCACAGCATAATGACTGAACATTCACCTTCACCGGCCTCGAAAAGCTGTGCAATCACCCCTGTCAAATTAACAGCAAATAACAAACAGATTAGCAAGCTAAGTACTCGTTAGGTTATTTTTTCACTGGTTTTGTACCTGGCTCGACGATACTTCTTACAGTCAAATCGGAAAAATAAAACATTAGTTCCAAAATTTAGAAATCGGAAAAATAAAACATTAGTTCCAACTTTTAGTATCAAGTTGCCATACCTACTGTCATTGCAGGTGGAAGTGCATATTGAAGCAGAAGGATAAACTGATACAAGGAGTCTGATTCAACCATGCCGAGATGATGTGCCGCTTTGACAATACCGATGCCAATAATTGGCAAGAAAATATTTCGCACAGATACAATCCCTGCAATGACTGATACACTCACTCCTGTTTTTCTTAAACCTGAAAGAGTTTGGAGTTGGTGATTAGAAATCTTGAGGATGTAAATTTGATTCTTCAGCAACTAGAGGCTGGATGCGTGTAAAGGAAATTAAGCAAGAGTTGATCTAGGTAGATTCAGGAAATTACCTCTGAGAAGGTTAGATCCTACTATCAGTGTCATGCATGGAATTGTTGCCTCTCTGCAGGTCAGAAAATTGTATAAACAAGATCAACAACAATGTTGCTGTAAGTTCCTAAATAACGAAGAAAGTTACATTCTGGGTTATATTACACAGGACGTGTATGGGCAAATCTAATTGCAAGAAGAAGTGTGGACGAGAGTATATTGATGAAAACAGGGATAACTTTTAATCCGGCTGTTGAATTAGACTAAAATTTGACCACCCAGGCTAGTCCTATAATGGTCAGCTGTAAAGATAGACTTGCCATCATCAAAAGCCAGACAAAGTCCATAATTGATTTATTACCCCAGCAAAGATGCAGAACTATCAATCACTCGAAGAGGAGCACTATCCCCGATCATCAGTATTCGGATTGGAGAGACTGTGCCAATTATAAACCCACAAATCTGAAGGAGATTAAGGAAATCAAAGCAAATTAGTGACATGTAAATTGGTAGATTAGGCACTGACCAACTCGACAAAATTACTCTTCTGGTTTTCCTTTTTTTCTGCATTTATCATTAAGACTCGTATGGTTTGTGATTATCTCTATCAAAGAATAATATTGAAGATTAGAGAGAGAGAAAATTATCATTAAATTTTTAGCCTACCGCTGCAATTGTTGCTGGTGCAAACACCATCTTCAGGTTGATCTTTGCTGTAAATTTCTTAACAGACTGAAAAATCTTCTCCATAACTGTCAACTATCATCAAAAGAATTTAATTAGCAAGGTTACGCCATCCAATATCTGCAGAGGAAGAGCTACATTTTGCATTAAAAAAAAAAACAGATGCTAGCATTTGTAATAATAAACTAAGGCCAAGGAAATCTTACTTTTTCCCCGGAAATAGTTAGAGGAAGTTCATCTTCCTTCGAACAGCCACTGGAGCCAGAGTTTTTTCTTGAAAGAAGTAATGCTTTATAACTTTCAGAATCTGATATGGGTTGATTTGTATCAGTAACTTCAGCACTCTTTTCTGAATATATCCTCATGATAATATACACATAGGTCCATATATAAATAGCTCCAACCTGCACAATCAGTTTAAATAGTAGCATAAAAAAGAATGTAATTCCTTCTATAACAAAACTGAAAAGAATACTAGAATGGCAGATCGTACCGCCATGGAAAGAGAAGCATAAGTTGTTCCATTAGTGGAGCAGATAGTTGAATCTCCAAATGGGCTATTTGACTCCATGCAGACTGCAGGAACAAGAATCAGAAGCAAATTCCCCAGATTTCCAGCAGAACAGCAACCAATGACAAGGCCTTGGAGGTGCGGCGGAGTTTTTGTGATTTTAATGAGAATCCAAGCCAGTATAGAGCCGATTATGAATGTCAGGAGGATATTTACTGGCATAAACCATCTACACCATCACCACAACAATTTTTTTGTGCCAAGAGTTAGTTTCAAGATTGCCTTAAGAGTGAAAATTTGTGCGAACTGTATCACTCACAAGGTACTCAAACTTTGGAAAGTAATGGTCTCTCCAAGCTGGCTAACCACGAGCGCTGGACTGAACAGATAGAATACAAGCTGCAAATTTCCTTTTTGATGAGATGGAAGGCAAGAAGAAGTAAATGTAAAGAACAGAATCATGTCAGTACACATATATATATTGGACTCACATTATTCATGTAGTGTCTTGCATTCGCTCCCAGGAGATCTATGCGATCGAGCGCTAAGAACAAGCCAAGTCCAGTAATCAAGAGTACTTTCAGAACAGGCATTAATGCCACAACAAAGAGATCAAGAAATCCCATTACACACAACTTCTCTGCAAAACTTGCAAGTTGATCTCTTGACACTCCTATGGAAAAGAAAGGGAAGTTCTTTCAACAGGTAATAGAGCGTTTCCTAAGAACGTAGGAGTGAAAACTATGGAATCGAATCTAATGGAAAGAAAAGGGTAAGAGTGTACCTCTTTCGACAAGTTTGGATGGTCCTTAGCAAACTCAAGCTTCTGTTGATAATTTGGAGGCAAGAATTACAGAAACTGCTTGTTTTTTACAGGCATTAGCTAATGGA